TCCATAGAGGTATGGCTTCGAGGACATGGTGGCGTATTCATTTCAGGTTGCTGAGGAAGTGGATGCAGGAGAGCCACAGTCCTATAGAGAAGCAGTTTCGGGTGGTGAAGCTGATCAGTGGCTTGCCGCAATGGGAGATGAGATGGAATCCCATGACAGGAATCAAACTTGGGAGCTAGTCAAACGACCACAGGGAAGGAAGATTGTTACAAACAAGTGGATCTACAAGAAGAAGGATGGAATCACTTCTAAAGAGGGCATGAAATTTAAAGCTCGGGTGGTTGCACGAGGCTTCTCGCAGAGGGAAGGAGTTGACTACAATGAGATTTTCTCACCAGTGGTCAGACATACTTCGATCAGAGTGCTACTAGCAATAGTGGCACATTATGACTTGGAGCTCGAGCAGCTAGACGTGAAGACAGCTTTCCTACATGGAGAGTTGGAGGAAGAAATTTACATGACTCAGCCAGAAGGATTCGAGGTTCCGGGAAAAGAAGACTATGTTTGTAAGTTGAAGAAGTCCTTGTATGGACTTAAGCAATCTCCGAGGCAGTGGTACAAGAGATTTGACAGTTACATGCTTGAGCTGGGCTACAGCAGAAGTCCATATGATTGTTGTGTATATCACAGCAAGGCAGAGGATGGTTTGATGATATATCTAGTTTTGTATGTGGATGATATGCTCATAGCTGCGAGGTCAAAGTCTGATATCCAGAAGTTAAAGGGGCTTCTCAGTGCTGAGTTTGAGATGAAGGATTTGGGAGCTGCTCAGAAGATTTTGGGTATGGAGATTTACAGGGACAGGTCGAAGAAGAAGCTTTTCTTGTCACAGAAGAGCTACATCCAGAAGATACTGTCAAGGTTTGGCATGTCTTCAGCAAAGCCCTTAAATACTCCTAGTGCTTCAAATGTTCATCTATCCTCAGCTTATGCACCGCAGTCAGAGGCTGAGAAGGAGTACATGTCGAGAGTCCCATATGCTAGTGCAGTAGGTAGCTTGATGTACGCTATGGTATGCACTAGACCTGATCTTGCACATGCTGTTAGTGTTGTCAGCAGGTTTATGATACAACCTGGGAAGGAGCATTGGCAGGCTGTGAAGAGGATCTTCCGGTACCTTAAGGGTACACCTGATGTGGGGATTAGCTTCGGAAGTGATACAGAGTGCTTGGTGTCTGGGTATTCTGACTCGGACTATGCTGGAGATGTTGACACGAGGAGATCGATGACCGGTTATGTATTCACTCTTGGGAGTTCTGTAGTCTGCGGTGACATTGTCTACTACTGAGGCAGAGTATATGGCGTTGACAGAAGCTGCTAAGGAGGGAATATGGTTGAAGGGACTGGTTGGTGATCTGGGTCTACATCATGATCAGGCAGTGGTGTATTGTGACAGTTTGAGTGCAATATGCTTGGCCAAGGATCAAGTCCACCATGAGAGGACTAAGCACATCGATGTGAGATATCATTTCTTGATGACAGAGAAGAGGATTAAGGTGAAGAAGGTTGGCACCGCGGATAATCCTGCTGATATGTTCACGAAGCCGGTTCCACATGGCAAGTTCCAACACTGCTTGGACTTGCTGAATGTCTTGAGTGGGTGACTCCGCCCTACGGGGCATTGATGGCGGGAGAGAGAGAAGGAGCAGAGTACATCAGAGATTTCAGAGGAAGAGGATTCAAGTCAAGGTGGAGATTTGTTGATATGACTTGAATCAGACTATCAGCCGCTACAACTGGTAATCGGGGGTCTCGCTGTTATTTGGGTTCAGGTTCTGGGCCTGGTCTGTAACCGTTTCCTTTGTCAGATTGGATTAGGTTTAGACCCACATGGAGAAATACTATAAATACTTCTCATACTCCTCTGTAATCTGTAATCTCCTCGATATAGTGAAATCGGCTCTCTCTCGCCCGTGGACGTAGCTAACACACATCGTGTTAGTGAACCACGTAAATCGTGTGTCGTGTTTTCGATTCTCGCTTTCGTATTCTTGCTTTTTCGATTCCGGCGATTTCCCGATCCGTAGCAGCGCGTTTATAACAATGTTCTCAACAAACTTGGTGCTTCCAATGTAATGGCAGCAGTTTAATGCTATGCTGTGATTTGAGGCAGAAATAATAACATAGAGAATTTGATAACACAAAGAAATTGCATAGATGTTCATTCTTTCATACTCATTGGTTATTTTAAGTTATGTCAGCATATATAATATCGTTTAGTTGATAACCCCATTTCTTCCTCATAAGGGTTCTGCTACCCATATATGTAGCCAACAGTGTTCCCAAAAACGCAGTTGTGTAGAAAAGTTGCTTCAACAACTAAGTCAATTTGTGGTTGGTTGGTTGGGAAAACACAGTGATCGTGGCATTACTCCCAGCAAAATGCACTCTCAACAGTTTGATTCACTCTGACTGTGATATGGAGAGGCAGAGGAACGTAAGAAGGTCATGTGTGAGAACCCCGCTTCTAGGGATCCTCGATACTGATCTTCGGCACTCGTGATAATTAGGGATTTAGGGTTTGAGAGAAAGAATTAGGGATTTAGATGAGAAAGAATCGAATTGGGAATCGGCCGAGGCCTTGGACTAGGATGAGACGAGAAATTAGGAGTCGAGAGGATAAACTAGGGTTTAGGAGACTGTTCTTAATATTCTGCTTGATTGATCATGACGTAAACCCAAAGTACATATTTATAGGGTAAATACTGGAAACCCTAACAATAATCCTAATACGACTAAATCTCTACTAACCATAATTATAATTATCCTACCTAATATAATAATAGAAACCATATATAAATGTGTTTCTGACATCATGTCATTTAAAATTTTCTAATTTCTTGATTACTACCTTGAATTAGAGTAGGACCATGAATTAGCTTCCCATGCATATAAGTTGAGCTTGAGGATGTTCCTTTTGGAATTCATATGATAAAACAAACGGTTGACAAAAGTTTGGTTTGAACACTTTAGAATCGATGGTATAGATGTCAGGTCAATGGATGCTTTGGTAGTATGCCCCTTCCTTCCATGAGATTGGTATTCCAATTTGAATCTCTCTTTCTAATCCTTCCATTAGATAAATAATGAAATTTATTTATCCCTGTCTGTCTTCCCTTATATTTGGTTAAAAAGAAAAATAAATGGGAGATGGAATCTTGCAAATGGGAATAACAAAGCTAATTAAGCAGATTATATGTGGGATTTAGATTGTATTGTGTGCAGATATTTCTTCTTAGACCTCAATCTATCTTGCAGTTTCTTTTATTCTCCACTTTTTGTCTTCAGTTACTATTCATCCACTTGATGAGCTTTAATGGTCTGTTTCAAATTGGTAAACTTTTCAATAGATTAGATTTATTATTAAGTGCTGTATAGTTGTTTATGGTATTCTCCATAGTCTGTCTTCTACGTTTTCTCTACACTGTCAACTTCTCCTAACATACTAAGCTAGCATAACCCCTTCCTTTCATTGGAAGCTATTTAAGTGGCTATTAAGGTGAGACTCGTGCTACTATTCTTTAATTGTCTTGATTGCAGTATGTCACTACACTTTGGACCTATAATGTTGTTCTGGAGCTGGAAAAAAGTGATATCTAAGAGGTGTTGATTCTTGCTTCATAGCTATATATAGTTTGTTGTGATAAATTCTGGTGGGATTTTGTTCCCCTTATGGATAGGTAGAATTGAATGGATTGGACTATGAAGTTATGAAGTGCAGGAAATGTTGAAAGTGGGAATGGTTAGTAGGCATTGTAGTGTACCATGAAAGCGTGTAGTATCCAGTGAATAATTGCACCTTGAGACAATATATACTTATGCAGAGCTAACCTAAATAAAGATAGGATGTTCTCTTTATTGGATACAAATTATTCAGGTTCAAAGCCTTTTAAAAATGAAATGATAAAAATGTAAAAGGTCTAATATTTTCTGGATTTTGATAGTGTTATTTGCAGGGTTTTTTTTGTGTTTTCTGCAGAGGGGAGAAGCCAACTGCAGAATGTTGTCGATGATGGAAATTGAGCTGAAGTTATGTATTTTCAAATGCCACAAATTTTAATATAGCTTTGTCAAGTAAAAGACTGTCCATATTGTGATGGGACGACCAACCTCATCTTTAGGACCTTTTAGCTGTTGTTAGTATACTTTTTTGTTAATTGATTTTGATATCTTTAGTGTCTATTTTGTTGGGGATAGTTAATTAGTGAATTTAATTGCTTAATCAATTAGGAAATTTTCTCAACATTCACATGGAACTTGATTACTATTAAGGCGAAGGACCATTCATTTTTTTAAAGTAGAATCCTATTTAATGGATTTTTTAATTTCCTGAATATTTCATGATGAGCCCCATATAGTGTGCACTTCTTAATCTTATTTTATCCCAGTGTTTTAAGGGTTTAGTTGTTTGCCCCGTATAACTCAAGGGTTGTTCATTCTCCCCATCAAAATCAGTTCAGCTTTAGTGATCCTTCTCGTTATATCAACAATCTTTCTCATTATTTCGTGCAACTTAGTATCTTTCATGTTTCATATTATCATATACTATGAAATTATCCCGTCACATTCCAGTGCCATCTTTTCAATTTCTATTATCTATAACCTTAAGAATTTTGAATTGAGTATCGTATATTGGGATTGTTATGGAAGGTCTTATATATATTAAGGATAATTCACTTACATTTTGTTGAGATGACCAAAGTTCAATCCCATATTATTTTTGGTATTTCTAAAGATAAAAAATTTAAAACATTTGTTTGATCTCTAAGAACGTCCAAGAATTTAAGAAAGATGAACGTCTTTAACGCTAATTGACTGGTATTTTTTCCTTGACAACCCGCTGCATAGCGCGGGCCATTTATCTAGTAATAATAATTTGGATAAGTAGTTGTAATGAGGACTCAAACAACTCATTCTTATTATTTTAGATAAAAATAACTTGTTTGATAGTAAAGAAAAATATCGATTTTTTAGGCTCAGTTATTCTAATTGACTTACTTTAGATTGTTTCAATATCGAGGGTGATTATTTGAAATACCTAAACAATACCACATTTTCAAATAACCTATATCATTTTTGCTACACAATACCACATTTGCAAAGCACCCATTATTGTTTGTGGTGGTTCCTTCTTCCTACCAATACATTATCAGACTCTCCGGCCTCTGCCAAGCACCTAAAATGCGCCGACAGAAAGAACTCAAAAAAGGGCGAAAAATGACTCAGATGATACAAGTTACATATATGTAGTGTTTGAATCCTCAGAACCCCATTCACTTTTCATAAATTTTCACAGATCAATGAAGGACTTGCAGCAAAAAATGACTACAACAGACAGGAAATGGAGACACAAGACCATGCCTTACAAGAAAACCACCAAATGTCAATTATGCCATCAAGCAGCCGCAGCTGCTTCAGCTGTCTCGCTCGCTTCCTTCAGTTTCTTCCAATTTTCTGCAGTATCGATTATCTCACCTGTCTTAATCAAGTACCGGACTCGCGTCCCGTCTTCCAGCACTTTGTGACCCACACGGCTCGCCACATTCTTCTCTTTTGAGTACAGCATTACGTTTGAGCTGTGGATGGGTGCTTCAATCTGGAATATGCGAAGATGGAGGTCAAGTTGGGTCTCAAAGAAAGCAGGATATGGAAAGGAAAAAGAAGAAGAAAAAAAACATCCTCTCTCTTTGCACAAGGCCTGAGCTTCTGCCAAACTAGAAGTCCCAAGATATGCACCTAATTCAAGCAAACAGAAAGGAAGAAAGCAAGCTTAACAGAAAACTGCAGAGGTATTTTGCTACTGATGTCCATAAATATTGTTTCAGTTCAAGAGAGAAAAAAGACTCGATCTTACATATGAAACAAATTATGCATCCAAGCCAGTTTTGTAGCATTCATGAAGAGATAAATGTAACCTATGTATGCTGAGTCTACAGTATCCACCGAGGATGTAATGACCATAGATTTTCCCACCAAACATAAAATGGTGGAGTCACCTTAATGATCTGGCCAGGTTCATCCTGTTCTCTGCTCTTCATATGCTTGGTCTTCAAGTTGATATCGTTCACGACCACAGTGCTGTTGTGCCTGAAGATCTTTTTAATTTCTCCAACTTTCCCTTTATCATCTCCAGCTATCACTTTCACCGTATCTCCCACCTTGACATGCATCTTATGTAAGATGGGAAGGCTGTTTGGCTTGCACTCCTTCCGCTCCCATCGTTTTAGCTATAAGTAAAGTAAGCAAGAGACAGGCAGACAACTATCAATCAAAACATGGGTTGCTCTCGCTCAGGTTGAAAACAGGAGGGTCGTAAATTGATCATGTTTCTCTATCTTATCTCCCCTTAGTCACAGCTATTACAAACTCCTGTTGTTCAACAGATAATGTCAATTTCGCAAGTCTTCTCCTTTTATTCAGTGATTTCTTTATGATGGGGACACATAATTCTATAGTTCAACTGATTCACTAATAGCAAAATCACTAGAGCTCGTTATGATTGAGACTTGAGAGAGCGCTACCTTTACAACAATGAGACATGGCTTATCCGGCGACTTGACCTGCGCGGGAACATGGAGCAGACAGATCATCGTCAAACCACATTCCATACTGGAAATTGAACAATTTGATTGAAGAAATGACAAGGGCAAATTGCTTTCAGAGGCTTGGACCGGAAACACACAGTACAAGAAACTGAAACAGTTCACCCATCCTGCTGAATTGCCGCATAGCAAATGAAGGACCAAGCACTAGCAGTGAAATTTCAGATGGGTACACGAACGAATTGAGGAATGACAAGAAGCCAACACAAAAGCTGAGAAATTTGTTTGGAAGAAGGGGGATAAAAGGCGTACGGTTAAAGGGGAGAAGGTACAAGGAAACGAGAGGCGGTCCCCGAAGAAAGAGCTTGAGGATATCGAAAGAGAAGCCATGGAGGCTTGAAGTGCAGCTTGGGCTGCCATTTTTCCCTCTGTCGTAATGCTGCTGCTACTGCTGCTTCCTCCTCTTTGCAGTTCTTTGGCTCGCTAGAGTGAGTTTCGGAAGATGAAGGGAATGGATAACGCCTGCTCGCAGCTCGCTCTCTAGCAGATGCCAAACGACAACCTCCGCCACCGTATAAAGTTTAGTCCGTCACCTCCTCCCATCTCATGTTGGGCTTAGCCCATTCGTTCAACATAATGGGCCTTACTTTCGGCCATTGCAACAAAATTAGTCCACATGAAACTAACGGGTAAAGCCCTCAACCAAAATATCCACTTCAGCTATCTACCATAAGGGAAAGCAAAGCAGGCTCATCGACCCAAAAAGCACCGAACATAGCTCGATGTGCATGGATCGAACTCGCCTTGTGACACACATGCAAATGGATTGATTCATGGATTGGTGGATTGGATTAGTAGATTCATGAATCAAATGGATTGGATACAATGGATTGGTGGATTTACGGATTGGATCAAGTGGATTGGTGGATTATCCATGAACCCAAATGACATCCTCGACCAATGACCAATATGTAAAATGTGAAAAGTATAGGTACTAAAATGTCATAATGTAAATTTTTAGGTACCAAAACGTAATTTTCCTATGATATTTTTCGTATACAAAATTAAATTTTGAGTACCAAAATGTAAAATACAAAAAGTATAGGTACCAAACCGTAATTTGCCATTTTGGATCCATGGATCAATCCAATTGGATTTGGATCAAATGGATTGGATTTAAATGGATTGGATTAGGTGAATATTTTTAATGGGTTGGTGGATTGGATTGAGAATTGCCACCTCTGTCTTGGTGTGATGCAAGGTTGTCCTACGTATATGTTATTTTGGATTTGGAAGATTTGAAAATCTCGTATTAAGATGGTTTGAGCTCACTCAACCATACATTCGTATTCTTGCAGCTCAAATTTTGTTTCAAGTTGGAGAATTTGCCTTATCTCTCCACCCCCTCCTATTGTCGTACGTAATCCTTCCCCTCCTGATCCTTGGTCTATGAGATTCCTGAATATTAATTTTGACGCTGTCATTAGACAAGATGCTTGCTCTACTGAATTGGTTGTTTGAGACTTAGGCGGCGGTTACTCATTTTTGGCAAAAGGGCTCCTCCCGCTGTACGTACTAAGGAATTTCATATCCCTATATTGCTAGGTTCTTATTGCCAATCTGTCAACTCTAAAAAAGGGTGTAAAATCTTATTTCATGTGTAAGCTCATATTGCACGATTATTACGAGCTAGTCTCATACGTTCTCTTGGATGAATTCTCGAACAGCTAATTGAGCTGTTCATAGAGTGCCACATACTTTTGATAGAGTTTGCGCTCTTTTGGTATTAGTTTCTGATTGAATATCCGTTTCTTTCTTGCAGGAAGTCACGATACTTAACGACGACAACCCAACATCCCTTGCATAAGATAAGAAGCGCGAGGCCACGATGCAAGTTAAGCTGCAGCTATATAATATTTGAGGATGTCTGGTCTGGTCTGGTCTGTCTCTCTCAAGAAAGTCAAAAAAGTATAGTATTGTATTGTACGCTAGCGGTAGGCTGGCTTCCATTTCCATGACCACAACGACCGCTGAGCTGCCCCACCTGACCATCCCATCTTTAGTAAACACGACGAAGCACGACCAAACAACATGGCGGCCCACTAGTCAATGAGTTGGCTGCTTCCTTCAAATCAAAACCAACCAACAGCTTAACTCTCTGGGGCAGTGCATCGCATGTGCAAAAACAAAAGGGTAAAAATCCAGATTTCTCCATTTCTATTACTCAAGCCACTTGAATATACAAAATCAATCGGATGTGTTGTTGTTTCATTCAAAAACAACACCAACCCTCCATAGAATCTTCACAGCACCTATATATTATGTATATATCTTACATGAAAACCCTATCCACTAACACTTGGGACACCCAAAAAAGCTTCTAACGTTGTGATCAACACTACAAGAAACCAACGTGTGAAGGAGGTGGTCATGTCATATCCCTTCCAACAACCAAACCCAACCCATGTACAAATCGAAAGAATCAAAACGAACCAAGAATAAGAAGAGATCATGCCTGCGATGAGAATGCATCGTTAGCTAAACTTCACAAGTGTCAGTGCTGTCCATGGACTCCTCCCTCTGGTGCTGGCGTTCCGATGTCGGGGTCCTGATTTCGGGCAGCTCAATGTCGATGGAAACCTCCTCGGGCGTGGCGGAGAGGAATTTCCTGAGCTGGTGCTTCCTGTTGTGCCTCACCTTCAGGATCCTTGATAGCACCTGCACTATGTCCCTCATCGAAGGCCGCTTTCTCGGCAGCCGCTGGATGCATTTGTATGCAAGAGCTGCTACTTCGTTCAGCTCTTGCATCTCGAACTTCCCTTCCAGATGGGAGTCCACTATTTCCTCCCATCCCACTTTCCCTTCAGTATTCATTGCTGCCTGAGAAATAAAGCCAAACACACAGACAACAAATTGGGCTTCTTATTATTCACATCATAGTGATGGCTGATAATTAAGGAAGTAAACTTTAGATAAAGAGAGGGCATACAAGCTCAACGTATTCCATCAAACCCTGCTGAGGGTTTCTGCCAGCTATAAGCTCAAAAAGCAACACCCCATAGCTGTAGACATCACTCTTCTTTGTGAACGTCCTAGTTGATATATATTCAGGATCAAGGTATCCGAAAGTTCCCCTTATGTTTGCAGCGTGTTTATCGACCATCTCTTCTCTCGATAGTCCAAAGTCGGCCACCTACGTAAACCAAGCACAGCCACACAAACAAAATTCCAACAAGTTAATGACAAGGCGGAGCAGGAAGGGTTTTAAGTTAAACAAAATGTGCCATTCAGCAAAACATAGGGATCTGAACAAGGCATTAGAAGACTTAATTACCCTGGCCCTCATTGAGTGATCCAACAGAATGTTGGATGATTTAATGTCTCGGTGAATCACAGGTGGGACTGCCTGAAGATAGAAATAGGGTGTTAGCATATAGAGTATTGTGTGGCTTAAATTGAGAAGTGCAGAAGACATATGCACACAGTGATAAGAGTCTAATTTAAAGAGAGAGGCTCACCCCATCATGGAGATACTCCAAGCCTCTAGCAACATCTAGAGCAATATTAATCCTCACATCCCACTTCAATGGTTCATGATTTTCACCTGCTTAGAGAAGAAAAAACAGTCATTTCAAGAAACTTCCTTTCCATATCCTTAATTGTAGACTTATAAAATTTGTCAATTAAGGGCAAAACAGCCTTCTTTAATATCTCCGGTGTTTGGTTACATTGTTCTCTAAAGCACATTAACAAATCATGCAACAAACGGTTGAAGAGTTCATGCCAACTTACTGTACAAGTGAGAAGACAAGCTCCCTTTGGTCATGTACACATATATCAGTATGTGTCTCCCTTTCTCAGAACAATAACCAACCAAATTGACTAGGTTTCTATGATGCAATCTTCCCAGTAGCATAACCTAGAAGCGGTGACAAAGACAACTAAAGGGTTAAACAGTGATCACCAATATGGATTGGCAAAAATAAATAGTTCGAGCATTATCTTGACTTTACAAAATCTCTTGGTGAAGAGCATATTCTTAGAATTTCTTCAATGTCAGCTACGTCCCCCATACTCTACCCTATATCATCCCACTGAACCTTCAATTTTCTACCCCATATCATCCCAGCTGTAATAGCTACTAGACTTACCAAGCTTAACCTTCTATTTTCTGCATTTTTTGTATGGAAGCTTAACCTTTATTGGCACAGAGCCTATATACTGTTACAAATCACAATCGTAGTCCCCTACCAAGCATATTTTCCTCGACAGCCAAGTACAGAGAACCAAAACACAAGCAGGTAGGAAACATAATTGGATCACAAAACTGAGAACTCAAGAAAGCCAGCATTTGAGTTATCAGATTCTTCAACTAGTTAAAAGCTCAAGTTGGTTACCAAGGGCTGCCAAGTGGATTTATAAATTTTTAGCAGATGGACTTAGGCAAATTCAATAGTTCCATGAAAGTTGAATAAGCAAGTTGTAATATTCTTCACAACTAACAGGCAAATGCTGTTAGAGCAACTGTAGTATATATCCACTAGTTCAGTATTTCCGGCATTACCTCAGTCTGAAACTCTTTCTCCCCTTGTTTAGAATCGGTAGCCAGAACTTTGACTGCCACAGTTTCACCAGTCAACATTTGAGCCTTATAAACAGAACCAAATGCTCCTTGTCCAATCACAGTAGTAAAGTTACTTGTCGCTTTCTGGAGATCCCTGCATTGGGATGAAGTCATCACTATTCAACACCACTAACATAAGCCAATGCCAGAAAGCCTTTACAGATCATGCAAAAGGAGAAGAAGAGTGTGCGAGGAGGACGAGAAAGGGAACCAGTGAACATACTTGTAAGAATACTCGGGTATTCCAGAAACTGATACAACATTGCTCTTCTTAAAAGTTTCAAGCCAAAAGGAGATCCCATTTCTACCCCCGGATTTCATAGGTGAATCCGGACCAATAGTTGAATCAGACATGATGGTACTAGCATCACCTCCATTTTCTCTGATTGGAATCGTGGCTGCTCTCCTAGAACTGCTGTTACCAATCTGGGATCGCTTCCTGTGATACCTAAACCCGAAGAAGGCCAGAATAGCCAAAAGCACACCAATTACCACCCCAATTGAAATCCCAATGATCAACCCAGATGATTCCCCTTTCATATCTCTCTGTCTCTTTCCTTCTGCTGCTGCTACTTGCTGCTACTCAAGCCTCCATCCATTTCATCATAAGCCTGCAACTCATCGCCAATTCACTGTGATACAAAGCAAATGATGTAATTTCCATCGCCTGACACAATGGCTAGAGTTTGACCTTTCTATTACTAGCCAATTTTCAGATGGGTTGGGATTACAACTTGCTCACGTATATGCCACTTCCTCCCAATGTTACTATTATTAATATTGTTGTGGTATTAAAATCAGCAAATGGGTAACTTGAAAAGTCAAATGCAGAACATGTGTGATGTGTCCAGCATTCACCATAAGCAAGAGATTTGTTTCTTTTTAAAAAATGAGAAAAAATCAATTGGGGCAGATGGGTTGTCTCTGAATTGTTCAACCCGTTGCCAGAAACCCAGCACAACAAACAACTTTTGAAGCTTCTTCCCTAAATGTACCCTAACAAAGAAGCTTACTCAAAGATGGACAAAATTTAACAGCAGCATAGCAGAATCCACAGTTTACTCAGAAGTGATTTGGAAAGTGAAGGATGGATAAGGCCAAAGCAAGCTTCATTATTTCCGTCCTGGAGTTGAAAACGAAGGGAATCGCGGCTAGAAAGAATTTTGATTTAGTATTGACAATAACAATTCAACCTTAAATGCCACGTTCCGAAGAAAGTAACCAATCCTTGCAACAGAAACATATATATGAATTGATTGATCATTTCTTTCTTTGACTGCACGTTTGCTTGTTCTGGGTTTCTCCGTCCTCGACTTAAATGCTAGAAACCGTAAGGGTTAGAAACCGCCAATAACAAGTTCGTGAAGAAAACAGATGGGTATGAGTCAGCCTCCCAGCCATCAACCATCTGTTTGGCTTCACAAGAACAAATCGAAGTCCCACCCAGATATTCTAAACCCAAATCCACACTGCAACTCACCCTTTTTCAACAAGGGAAACGAAAGAAGAACACATACAGTTGATGAAACTAATAGATCAGAGGTAATGAAGTCATTTAAGAGACCGCAGTTGGGTTTTTGCCCAGAAAAGAATTTACCTGCCGGTGGTCATCTTCTGTTACTGTAATTCTTCTATTTTCGGCGGGGAATAGAGTGAGTGAGTTACATGTTTCCCGGGAGTAGGAACAGGAAGAACTGAAACGGCATATTTCCGGAACCTCAGTGAAGGAAACGAGAGAAACCCAAAAAAGTAAGGAAGAGCCGGAGTGGGATTGAAGCAAAAGTGAATGACGGAAAGGAATCAACAAAGGAGCAAACAAGGAGGAAGGGCCCTCCAGACTGGGAAAAATTGAATTTTGAAAAGAGAGCGAGAAAAGGGAGAGCGCGTATGAGATACGATTTGCTGGATGGCGAGGGAAGAGAACAACAGAGTGGAGGCGGAGAGGGAGTTTCAGACAAGGAAACGGGACGACGACGACGAGTGAGTTAAAGGGTGGTTTTGTTGCTTTTGCTGTGCGGCTTCGCCGCGATACTTTTAATTGTTTGGTATTTTATATATATTTATTTATTTATAATCTCAAGTTGATACTATTTTAGTTTTTTTCAGAAAATCCGGGGATTGGTGTCATGAATTTAAAAAGGGCCTCATCATCTCAAATCAAGGAGGATCAGCGCTCAAAAGCAGCTAACCTGATCTTTGATTAAGCGTTTAGATCCAAGGGAGGACTAGGTTAGGTTTATATATAGAAAAATATACGATGATGGCACTTGTCTACCCAAACAAATGTTGGGATTTTTAGTGGTGTGAATGGAAATAAAAGGGGAAAGTTTTAAGAGAGTCTCTTGAAGTACCATGTTGGTAAGATGTGAGAAGGCATGGCCTCGAATTCGATCGATTTGATGTAATATGTGGTTAGTTGGTTAAATTGGTTTGTGTAACCAAATGAACCAAACCGAGTTGAACCAAATCGAACCAAACCGATGTGGCGGTTGGAATAACCAAACCGGTCCAACTTCCATGAGGCCGAACCAATGCAATGGTTGAAATATTTTAAACGAACCAATGCAATGGTTGGGGTGTAACCACCCATATGAAGAGTTGCCTCCCTTCAAGGCATCCCTTCATTTTCTATAAATAGCACCATACCCCCTCTTGTTTTAATGACGAGTTTTACATGGATTTTTCCCGATACTGAAACTCTGCCAAAATCCAAAACTAGTTTTTCTGCATTCCTTTTTCAAAGAGAAAATAGAGTCAAGTGTGGTTCTCGCCGTTTCGCTGCGTTCGATGGTGTTTCGGGGTTTGAGGTACCGCTACGCCGGAAAAGGTACGTCCTTTCTATCCTGGGAGGAATCATTCCACAACCTTGGGTACTTGAGGGGAATAAGATTCTTTAAGAAGAGATAGTGAATTCTATCGGCTAGGACGCTTGCATGTGTCTTTGCATGTTTTCTTAATCTTATGTGTTTGCTTGTGTTGCAAGAAAATAGTATACGTGAACAATTTCCCTAACAATCTTAAAGAATCTTATTAATATGTTTCACGTATTCAATTTGTCTTGGTCCGCATGAAATTGTCTCTCGTCGTTTATCTTTGTGTGTTTGCCTTAGGAGAATGACAATTCATGCATGCAGTAGGGTTTAACTCTTTGTATAAATCTGGTCATCATCAGAACCATGCATGATTCACTGTGTGGAACTGATCTCCATATATGCACATATATATATAATTGGATCATTACATGTTTCCTTTCCTGTACTGAATATATAACTTGCATTGGTTATATAATCGTTGTGCAATTATATATTCTTGGTGTTCCGTGTATATATATGCTCCGTATATATTGAATGCTTTTATATATATATATTCGGCAACCATTGTTTTGTTCTTTGTGTAATTAGAAGAGGGTTGGTGTATGTTCTAAAAGAAGAACGAAACAAAAAATGGCATGGAAACAGTGTCATTTGGCAGTTGCATGGATGGAACATGGATTGAAGGACACGTCCCCTTCCTTGGTTGTTTTGATTATGAATAAAGTTTCATGGATAAAGTTTCTGTGACAAAAAATTTGACAGTTGCAGCCGGATTAGTCTCATGCATGATGTAGTTGTCTTATCTCTTCATGCAACTGCTTGTACTGAAACGTTGTATGGTTTCGGTAAGAAAGTGCATCGTCACTATAAATTGCTGTGACCTTTTGGTATCCTGTTTAAAAAGATTTATACCAAAATCAGTGGCATTCGGCAATTATACCAGAATCAGGTATTACTTTGTTTCTCTTCCATTTTATGTACGAGTATATATATTACATATTTACTCCATGCATGCATTCGATGGCTTTATGGTATAATATATTTATATATATGTGATATAATTATCATTATGCATGCAATTGATGTCGGTGCCAATTACAGTGACAGCGTGTGTCCGTTTTTATTCATTACAATGGTCATTATTTGATGTTACTGTGTGTGTTCCAATCAGTGTGTTCATTCTGTTAGAACAGAAAATGGTTGGTAGCACCCCCGGAGTATGGAGTCCAACTCACGAGGATGATGACGATGACGTCATAGAGGTCATCAATATCGAATCAGATCCGGAGATTATTGATCTCTCTACTCCCGAAATGGAGTTTGAGAATGAAGAATGGTTCGACTTTTATGACGATAGCGGGGATGTGCTATATAATGACATTGGTGGAGAGCATCCAACCAATTATTGGACTCTAGATGGAATACCCATCTATGATTGGTACTCAATGGGTCCTAATGTGGATGATGTGGGCACCACCCATGTGGACTCGATGGAGAGTATGGGGGAAGAAGAGGAAGTTGAGGAATCGGAGAACGAAGAGGAGTACTCCGACATAGAGACCGATGAATGCCTCTCTGATCCTGACTTCGACCCCAAGAATCCTTAGGATTCTTGTATATGTATTGTAATCTCCTTTGAGGAGTAGACATATGTATGCGTGTGTATATATACATATGGTATTAATATGTGTACCTATGTAAGTCGTGTATTTACATGATGAATAAAGGACAAATGTTCTTATCTCCCAAATGGAAAATTAGTTGGATAAAACCTTACGAGTTTGTTTGGTTCCAAAATTAACCACAAAGTTTTAATGCTTTTATTGCATTGGTCCATTTCATTTTTTTGTGGCATGGATGAATGATAAATGTGCCAATTTAATTTGGACTTCATTCAAGGTGATGCATGAGATGATGGAAGTACTTATGATAATCCTTCATGGACTCTAAGTAAAGGTGGTTTGGATAGTAGTAAACTATCTAGTGGGAGAATATGAACAATCATAGGTGTGTAAAACCTATGGTGCAAGGCTAGTGGGGACTTGTGAATCAAGTCTATCTAAGCCGTAATGGTTGCAAACGTAATGTTCATAGTATGTTGGACATAGTTTGAAAGAGTAGGTTTGCATTACGAGTAAGCCATAAGTGATAAGGAATTCTAGTTCCTGTGATAGTTGTGATGACATAATAATTTGTTTATTATGTATGTGGTTTAGGACTTGATATTTCCTATGCCACGAGGGCAAGGAAAATGAAGCTATGATTGATCCTTAAAGGGATTTAATAAGCTTGCCAAATGATGGTCGTCATCAAGATGACTATGATTATCAACGTGGAGCTAGTTGCCAGAATTGTTTATGGTATATATAGATGTATATCATTGGAAAACAATTTGGCATGAGAGCTCAATTGAGATGATCTTATTGAACATAAAGACTGGATTACTTATGGTATATTTATGAAGTTTATACCATTGGAAAGTAATTAGACAATTGAATTAGAAATTCGTTTGAATTACTTGTGTATATCATGTTACATATATGAAATGTCATTGGAAAGTAATTAGATGGGATTTCCATTACTGGAATGCATCTGAATTACTTATGATGTCTCAAGTTGCCTTGATCAATACCATTGGTAAGTAATTGGATGATTTTTCTAATAAAATCTGAATTGTTTGTGGTATGCTAATCGAGTGAGATCATACCATTGGTAAATAATTAGATACATATAGTGGTTGGCAAGTTCAATAAGTAAAACCAAGGAAAATAAATGGGATTATTCCATGATGTTTGGCAAAGAATAGAATTGTGGGGGAGAAGAACTAGCTATTGTTTCGGCTACTATCTCAAGACCCTACAATGGGACGCAAACCTATCCATAAGATAAAAGTGGAAAGGTAAACAAAGTCATACTTGAAAGTATGAAGGTGTCCAATGAGAAAGTGAGTGTCCTTAAACCTTGTGGAGTTAACCCAGTCCAAGGGTATAACTTATGAGTAAACTCTAGCATATATTGACGTTATGTCAGAGGCTAGAATATTTATTGATGTTGATCCACTCTTCCCAAAGAGATGATTTTGACCATATACATGAATGTATATGAACAACATTCCCCAAACTAGAAACGTTGGTTTCAACAACTATGGCGAAATAGTTGAAATGTGGGGGATAAATTGGGGAGAAGTAATGTGGAATGTCGCTTGGGTGATTCCAAAGTGAAGTGATGTGAATACTTAGGAGTTTAACATAAACTCTAAGCTAAGTCATAAATGTCACTACATTTGAAGAGATACTTGTGAAGGTTAAGTACTCTAAGGTTAATGAAGTGGAGAGACTTCAATACCGTTGGCATGTGTTATGATTATTGCAAGACAATAAAATCAAGTCAAGCTCACAAGATGTGTAGTGAATTGAAAAGAGACGAGTCTTTGGTGTATTGTACCCAAAGGGAACTCACTGGGTGAACCAAAAGCCATAGTCCATTAATGGATAGGCGTTTATGGTTAACGAGGAGCAGTATCTTGGAAAACGTCCAAGTTAAACTCTAAGACCGGTGAAGTTGAGTAGTTTGGCCCGCAAAGACTGGCGTTAATAAAACGCACTTGTGCACAAGGGAATGGACTCGTGGCCTAGGAAAAATCTTCATGGCGGTAACTCTACCTAAGCAGGATTGGCAGACCCAACCTCTAGGTTCAAGGAGAAAACAAAGTTGTGAATGATGGTCCGACATTGTCAAATTATTCAAAGTCCATTCTCATGATGAGACAATGTCCAGCTATAAGGGTAAACCTAAAGATGGAAGGTTTTTAATGGCTTCTAAGTTTGACACAGGATGTGATCAAATAGTGTATTTTCGGAATACACGTTTAGAAATCACCTATGTGAGTGTGAAGTGGAGCCGCTTCAAGGAGAATAAAAGAAGGCCAGTTATCTAAGCACTCATGAGACCAGGCGGTGTTCATGGCTGAAACGAACACAACAATGAGAACCAGTAAACGGATAAGAGTTAGGTGTGTGACATATGTTGTCTTAGTATACAAGCAAAACCGACGGTTCAAAGATATCACATCTACCGATTGGTGAGTATACTCGATATATGTTCACTAAGGAAGGTTCAAAGGGAAACCTACCTATTCCGATGCAACTAATTCTTAGTCGAGAATCACATGATTTTTTTGCATAGTTTTTAAAGTACAACATT